GTCTTGAAGCTGTCATTGACAACAAAGGCTTTTGTACAAAGTATTAGATAAATTTCAGTAAGTGTATTCAAGTGTAAACCAATTTTGTTGGGCAAATGTAAGAGCATAATGTGTAATGACAATAACGGTTCATTCATTCATTCATTCAACTACATTCACGTCTTCCTGTGACATCCAGTATTAGAAAACTCTGCCACTTTGTGAGTCATTATACATATGAGTCCAAGGAAATTTCACTGTTCAGTAGCTATACTCAAAAGTAAAATTAGTGAAAAATCATTACATCCAGATCTCTTAGTAAAAAAATTTTACTCATTATGACAAAGCACAAGCACCTTAGAGAGTAGAGAAATACAGAGACAGGGAGGAGTTAGAAGAAGTTAAAACATATCAGCTATATATTCAAGCTTGTGCAGAACACAAACAAGCACACAATTCTCTAAAGGTGGAGATGCAGGTCGGAAAAGAACTCTGCTTTCCACAATTTTCCAATATCTCTTGCAGCAAGCCCTCTTGGAATGAAGTTGTGCTCATACAGACTATGTTTTTCTCTGTTTCTCTGCTTACTGCGGCTCTCAACCTGCTTGTCATCATTTCAGTCTCACACTTCAAGTACATGAAGACATATTTTAGATTGTTATTTTTGCATGTATTTTTGATTTTAACACCTAAAAAGAAGGTTAAATAGAGCTAACACTTAATGAATTGCTGTACATCAGGATCCTAGACTTTAACGTAGCATCTTTATTTTATTTATTTATTTATTTTTGCTAAAAAATGTTAGTTAATTTGATCATTCTTTTGTCTTTTTCAGGAAGCTACACACGCCCACCAACATCCTCCTTCTCTCTCTGGCTGTCTCAGATTTTCTCATGGGTGTCCTAATGATGCCTGCTGAAATGATCCGAAACACAGCCTGCTGGTTTTTTGGTGATGTCTTGTGTTCTTTTTATAACTCAGTGTCCTTTACTATTACCTCTGCATCAGTTGGAGACATGGTGCTCATCTCAGTTGACCGCTATGTGGCAATATGTGACCCTCTGCATTACCCCACCAGAGTCAGTGAGAGAAGAGTTAAAGTCTGTGTATGTCTATGTTGGCTCTGCTCTATTTTCTATGGTAGTCTTATTGTAAAGGGTGACTTTACACAGCCGGGAAGGCACAATGTGTGCTTGGGGCAATGTATAATCAGTGTCGACTACATTGCAGGAACTATTGATCTGATGGTAAACTTTATTGTTCCCGTTACCGTAATCATTATTTTGTATATGAGAGTATTTATCGTGGCAGTGTCTCAGGCTCGTGCCATGCGTCCTCACATTACAGATTTCACTATGCAGCTTTCAGTGACACAAACATCAAAAAAATCTGAGTTGAAAGCAGCAAGGACTCTTGGTGTTCTTGTAGTGTTTTTTCTGATATGTTTCTGCCCATATTATTGTGTCTCTCTTGTGGGGGAAGATTTATTCAGTAGCTCAGTTTTATCCTATGCTCTCTTTCTCTTTTATATTAACTCCACCTTAAACCCTGTGATTTATGCATTGTTCTACCCTTGGTTTAGAAAAGCATTGAAATTTATGGTCACACTTCAAATATTACAACCTGGATCCTGTGAACACAACATATTGTACAWATAAATTAGTACACTCAAGTGGAGCATACTAATTTATTTGTACAATATGTTGCAGAGCAGCTCCAAAAATTCTGGAATTTTTCTAAATCTGGTGAAAATTATTCTCCTTTATTAAATTTGTGTTTTGTCACCAAACAATCCTAATTGAATGTGTTAATGTTGTTTATACAGCAAAGAAACATTATTTCTTTAAGTTTTTGTACAAGCTTTTTCAGCTCTTTATCAAATAGTCAAAACTGCTAAATGAAGCATGTCATTGCAACTCTTCCAATCTATAAATACAACTAGTGCTTAATAATATTGAATAAAGCTGAAATATACAGAATGATTATCAGAAAAAAATGCAGTCCAATATTTTCTTTATAATTTTGTCACTGTGGATAAAAATTCTGACGTTGATGTGTATCAAAGTAATGATAAACAATCTTGTGTTGACGCAACTTTCATATTTGCACATCATTGTTGCTGTGTCTGACATTGATATTTTCAGTTTTCCTCCCATACACCCAGTATTATAAATCTGCTGATAAATACAGTATTTATGCAATTTTTAAAAAAATTATCTTTATACATCAATTTTAGTCATTAATAGGGCACTTTTATTGTATATAAATCCAATATTTGTCCCTGTTGCCAATGTGAGGGACATAGAAATGCTCTACATCAGTGGTGCCCAACCAGTTGATCGTGATCTACCAGTCGATCACCGACTGGTTGCCAGTCGATTGCGAGACTTGTTAAATACAACCTTTGTTTATTTAACATTCCAGTCTTGAAAGTGCTCCCTCCGCCCTCTCTTGTAAATTCTCATAGACGTAGTCTTGCGAGTTTTTGGTGCTGTGAAACAGCACTCCAAACATGATCTTGTGAGACTTTCGGTTCACGTGTCCAAAACAAAGCAGAGAGGAATTGTTGATACTATTGTGGAAAAAACTGATGAAAAACGAGCTAACAAGCAAACAAAAACTTATTATTTTCACCTGGAGTGGGAGGAGGACTCATATGTATTTCGAGCGCTGCCTTGTCCAAAAAGGATAACGTGGAGCAGCATTTCAAAACAATGCACAAATGCTACGAGAGAGATTCCCTCCTAAAACCGAGCTCAGGAAGTGTTCAGGAGCTGAAAAACAAGCTTGCAGCACAGCATCGATATTTACTCGATCCAACACCAATGGTAAGGCTGCTATGATAGACWCATACCAGGTTGGCTGCATCCTGGCTCAACACAAAAACGGTCTTTCAGCAATGACGAAGTTATGAAAGAAGCGTTTGATGCTGCAGACGTGCTTTTCCGTGATTTTAAAAATAAAAGTAAGATTGTGGCTGCTGTAAAGTCGTGCAGTTGTCCAGGAATGCATGACATTGTGTCCAAATTAGTGTCTGTGTTTCTGCTGGACTGGTCTAGTGTTGAAAATGAGGTTTTGACTCTGCAAAATGACATCGGGATCAAATCCAGAGCAATAAGTGGCATGGATGGAGAGTCCTGGTTTCTGCTGTCAGAAGAAAACTATCAGAAGAGGTGCTTTGAACTTGACAGCACTTTTTGGATCTACCTATGTGAGTCTGCTTTTTCTCACATGAAAATAATCAAGTCCAAGAATAGATCCACAATGACTGATGAACATCTGGAGACCTGCCTACACCTCGCAACCACTTCATACTGCCCGCCTATGAGACCCTGGCCTCCTCCTCTCAGTGTCAGAAGTCCCACTAAGGTAGAAACATATATTTATTATGACTCCCGCACACGAAATGTAAGCGGGAGTCATATTGTTTTCGTACTGGTTTTTTTCAGTGATTTTTGGTCAACCGTAGCAAAAAATAAATAAAAAAACGGCTACACCAATCAACATGAAATTTGGCAGGACTGTAGATGAGTTTGACCTACACTGCACCAGCCAACGGTTTTACGATACACCCCATATTTGAGGAGGGTGCTCCTTTCAAAATGGGGGTGTCTGGACATGCAAAAATGATTACAGCTCAAAACCTATTAAACATGGGGCTTCAGATTTTTTGGTTGTTTAGCTCTGATGAAGCTCTATCCATCAGGCCCGCCAATCAGTGACCCCCCC